TATCTTCAATGTTATTCATTTATCTCAATATATGTTTAGTTTCAACACTTGTTTCATTAGACTATTTTCAATATCGTACATTTCATGTACTGATGTTATTCGGCGCTGCATCAGAATCGACATAGGACGCATCATTAGGATTAATCACCTTTCATCTAGCATTTTAAATGTCTCCTCACTTTCAAAGGACTCCAGTCATCTAGCGTATTTAGTAGTCGTTATGTATTGCTAGTAGAGTATGTAGTTAGGCAGAGGTCTTGTCCTGATAATCTATCTTCAGTAATTAGAGGATTCATAGATGAGTAGGTTCAGTTATAACTTTGACCATTGTTTTACAGGCATATGAATATTATAGATATTTCAGATTTTTAACTATAAAGTTATTGAGTTCGTTTCAAAGTTATTGCACGCTCATCTTTTAAAAAAGATTCATATAGTGTTATAGTATTTAGTTAGTAGAAGGTTAGACCAAGGGGTTTCTTGGGATCAGGAATGTTCCCGAGTGTCGGTCACGTTTAAATGTACTCTTGGGGAGTGACAAATTTGGTATTAGAGCATACAGTTCAAATGTCCAAGGAAGTCTATGAAGTTGTGCCAATATGATCTTATTTATGATTGTGAGGGTCAGTGGTGAAGCCAAAAAAATTATTAAGGGTGTCCAAGAATAGTGGTGTGTGACTATAAAAATAAAACAAAAAACATATTGTGTTATTTGGGGTTTGAACCTAGAACTCCTTCATTCAAATGGACACTCATTACCACTACGCAAAAGACATAGCTTTTATTAAGGATGTCCAATTTTAAATATATATCCATTAAATATAGAATTTAACATATATATATACAACGTAATATTTTGACGAAGGGTGTCCAATTAGACACCTGGGTTTAACACCTCGGAATCAAGAAGTCTAGAAAAAAAATAGCCAAGTGGGAGGTCACCAGCCCATAACTGAGCCATGGAACCCTTCATGGAACCCTTCATAGGCCGTGAAGGGCACCACGGCTCGTGGTGGTGCTCTTGTAGCCTTCTAGAGGCTGGCTAAGTGAAGCTCCCCTTTCACGAGCCCTTAGACAGTTCGTGGTGGTGGCCGTGAAGAGGAGGAAGAACTCCTCAAGCCACTAGTCTAGGGTCACGACTGCCCAGATGGCTTTGGACCCTGAGACGGCTCGTGAGGGCTTCCATTTGGAGGTTCGCGTCAGTTGTAAGATAGGTGTCAATTGGGTCTTTTCCAAATTATTTTATCTTGATACTATGCCATTTTGCACTTACCTAGAACCCATATATAAGTGATCTTAACCCTAAATTCAACCCATTAAAATCATTCTCTCAAATTTACAAAATAAGATCAAGTTTCTTCCTCCCAAATATTTATTTCTTCAAGTTAGGGTTCAATCTAGGGTTTCAAGCCAAGTCTCCAATTCCTCCAATTGAATATAAGCAATTGGCATTGAGTTATGATAGCTTTCATCTATGGATTCCTTTCATTCATGGAGTTTCCAAATTCTCCTATTTTCAGAGCTAGAAATCTCCAATTGAGTTAGGGTTTTTCTTCTATGTTATAGGTTCTCTTTATTATTGATTTAAATAATTGAACTATGATCTCTTATGCATGAATTGAGTTCATTCTATGGTTTTATGATGATTCCCCATGAACCCATGTTTTCCAAGTTATGAGCATATGATGTGGGTTTTGAATTATGAAAGAAGAGATTATGAAATTAAGCATGTTCTTATGGAATTTATGTAAATTTCTTAAGGATGCTTTGAGAGTGAAGTATGAATGATGATGTTGTTGGTGTGTTGTTGAAAGGATTTATCATATACACATGAAAGCATGATTGTGAAACGTCTTCACACCTAAAATGAACTGATAATTAAGGAGTTATGATAATGTTGAGGCAAGAGGCGATTACACATGCCCTCTATTGAATGACAAGAGGTGATTACCCATGTCATATGATGTAAGGACAAAGAGGCGATTACCCATGTTCCTTTAAGAGCTAAGATGAAAAGGATCAAGAACTATTCCGTGAAAGTTAAGCTTAGTACCGAGTGGACAAGTGGCGATTACCCAAGTCCCATAAACTATGTGCCAACATAGGATTGTCTAGATAGACATTAGCTAGTGGATCCACAATAGCTAGAAGTTCATGGTCCTTACCTTGTCAAGTAGGACAACTCTTTTCGGTGTGGGAGACACCGGATTCCATGTTGATAGCTCACATGGTCTTATATGTCGGTTAAGGCTACTTCCCAAAAGCAAGTTATGATGAACTAAGGTTACTTCAAGAAGTATCTCTTATATGTTTTAAGATGATGTTCACTTGCATTGATCATGTTTTATGACTTATGTTTTTCTAACTCACAAGATTCACGTTTTTAGCTTGATCATTGCATGCTCATGAAAATGTCCTATTTTAGCATGTTTTAAATGTTTTTATGCATGACTATCATACTTGGTACATATTTTGTACTAATGCATACCCTTGCCTACATTTCCCCAAATGTAGGGTCCGACAGTCAGGGTTCTTGGTTTCGTGGCTAGAGGTTGATTTGAGAGAGTTCGAGCTTTGGTGAGTCCTCATGCTTCGAGGACTGGCCTTTCACTGTTTTCTGTTTTTCTTTACTATCAGTTTTGGACATGATGTATGGGCTAGGCCCAAATTCTTTCTTATGTACTAGATGGCTTTGGGACGATGTTTAGATTTTCGCTTCACTTTATAAAACTTTGATATCTTGAAATGGTCTTTTAAATCTCCTTATTCTATTATCTTGTATTATGAAAGCTAAATAGCTTGTATGTAGCCTCTCGTGGTCCTGTACGCCATGTTACGCCTAGGGGCTACCTTGGATCGTGACACTGGGGTGGCTGTAACTACGCCACTGGTGAGGGACCCACTTCTATAAATAAGAGACTACAAACATTTAAGAATCCACTTCTTTCATACTCTAGATCGTGCAACAGAGTTGTCCTCTAAAAAAACTTATACAAATTGGTGCATTGCTCTAAATCCTCCAATGAGTGAAGTTCATTAGTACGATTTTTAACATTATTCAATTCAAAAAGATGCATTCAATAAGTCAGTAATGAGGTGTTCCCAACCTTGTAGCTTTGGGGTCAGATGAACATAAGCTCACGGGTCCGGTCCTTCAGAAGATGTTGACAACTTTATCGGACAAGCTCGTGTAAAGGCCGATATCACTGTTGTTGCATCATATCTGATTTGCCTTCAATATCCACGTGTCACCATGCGATACGTCTAGTTGTGAAATCCTAATTTTAAACTATACATAATAATTAGTGGAGGAGTACACTCATGTTCATGATAATATCAAGTGTTTTTTATTCACAGTTTATGTGATGATGCAAATTATGCTTTAACTAAGAATGTTGAAAGTTTTTCCTTTTTCCTTTTTTGTTATAACACATCCTCTTTGCCCATTTATTAGAATAAGAAGTTACAAAGAAAATGACAAGTGAAAAGAGAAATAAAAACATGAAATAAAACAAAAAATGATGAAGCAATTAAAGAAAGGAAAGTTGGGTTTTTCTCTCTATATATATGTGATTGTTTGGCCCTCCCAAAATAAGGAAAGTAGTTGTGCATATCACATGGGAGATTGTCTGTGCCGAAAGAACCTTTAAAGATGCATTGCACAAGGCCATACAATATATAGGACAAAGAGGAATTAATAGGGGAACATATCGTGAAATTAAAGATCTTAATCAAGATATTATGAATATTTTTTTGTTTTTCTTTATAATTTTCGTCCCCATTATTTTTTTTTAAATTATTATAGATAAGATATAAGAGTGTAATCCCTTAAGATCAGCACCCTCTTAAATCAAATCAAATATTTCTTTTGACCTTTTGGCTGTGACAATTCAATTATTATTACTCATGAAGAAGTGTTTGAAATCTCTTACACGTAACTTAAATCAATCTAAGAGGGAAAACATGTGAAAAACGATGAACAACAATCATACAAACAAGTTACTTTAGATTATTCATGCAGGTGACCTTCTCAAGAAATATGCAAATTTATTTGCCTCCTACTAAACAATTAAAGGCCATTTGAACAATATTTGAAAAATAGAACAATAATGAAATCTGCAGCAACAAAAATAAGGGACTGTGATAGGCATAGCAACCAACAATAAGGGTTGTGATGGAGTAGTAAGTACCTCTTCTGGTTCCTTAATCAGTGATCTCGGATTCAAGTCCCCTGGGTATGAAGTCGGCTTTGTTAAGGAGCATTTTACCTCTAATATGAAATTTTCTGATGTTAATTCAAATTCAGTCGGACTCCAATATGGATACTGAACACAGGGGCGAAAAAACTAAAAAAAAAAGAACTTATCCCATCTATCAATTTTGCACATGCTAAATGCAATTATTGAAGCGTCATTCGAATCAAAAGACATGTCTCATCAAAAAGACTTATGTCCTACATGATTTATTTCTTTAAGCATTTGATATAAAAAAATAACAATAAAAAAAAAACTTATATATAATGAATCAACCAATTTGAATTCACACCTAACTAATTTTGATATGCAAATTAATGAATAGATTCACTAAGAAGGATAAAAATACTTTCATAAACATATCAACCGCCTTACCACACTCTTTGGTTATATATCCCAAAGTGATAAACGAATAGTTGCAAGATCGAAGTAATTAATTATGAGCTTACAAAGTAGAAAATTCTAGTATACCATTCTACTAGAATTGGACCAGTGAGAAACCAATGAAAAATATGTTGTTGATTTGAATCTTCATTTTGCGAACATTTTTGTTCTTGATGACCCTTTATATACCAAATTTCTATTGGAAATCTTACGGAAAATACTTTATCATAAACACTATTTTCCCTTCGACTTGCCATATTTTAGTCATGATCCAGAGAAAGTAAAAACCAGAGCGCTACACTTTTGAGATACTGACATCCTATTTTATCAACTACCATATCTTTACTCATTTGATCATGAAAATGCGATGTAAATTTGAATTAATATTATTCACTCATACACAATGACAAAATAGGTATATGTGAAAGACCTAAGAGTATATTTGTCCCAAAAAAAAAAAAATTTAAAGAAGAAAAACAGAAACCATCTGAGCTTTCCGAATCCTACAAGCTTCAAGCTTGGTCTCTGAAAATCTCCCTTCTCAACTCTCTATTCCAAGAAAATGGCATGTTGAGGAAAATTAAAAGATTATACATATCTCCTCTATAACATATATTATATCACGCCCTTTCTACCCTTCTAATATGTACGTATATATACCGATAATTTTCATGGTATTATACTTGATTTTGCAAGTCCTTTGAGCTAATGAAAGTCCCATGAAAACCATATGGAACTCTTGAAGGTAGCTTGACAGTGGCTTCTAATTCTAGAGTCATGGCATTCACAATTTGTAGTTCTGATTTCCATGTCTTTTCATCATGGCAAAATGCAAGAATGTATCCGTCGTCTTCTTTCTCTGAGTTCACATTTCTTGGTAAAAATAATGGTTCACCTCCATATCGTTTATCTCCATATATATGTTTTTTAATTTCCCCTGTTGATAAGTCGACTTTTGCAAATCCAGATACTTTTGGCCATGGCTCTGCAATTGCAAGATAAGTGAATTGTGTTTTTCTACCGAGTTTGTTTCTGTTCACCATTCCAGCTTCTAAATTTACCTGATCTGAGGGTGAAAGTAGTTGTCGTCTTGTCGACTCTCCGGTCTTCAAATTGAGCCTTATTTCTGATAATACACTCTTTAAATTCTCACTACATTCTTTGAAAATTGAGTCTGGTGGTGTCATGCATGAACCAATAACAACGACTTCATCTGTTTCTGGCTCTTCCCAAGCATTCCATAGATGAAAACAGAACGTTTCGGGTGATTCTACCCAAATAATATTATCAGAATCTTTAGCATTTTTGGGTAGAATTCCGAACCTTGATTTCTTATTTTTGTCATAAATCACAGGGGAGCCTCCTTTGATCATTTCCTGAAGCTTGAACACAACTTGCTGATCAGGAATTACAACGTAATTCTCAGTAATCGCAAAATCATGCATCATCGTTGGAACATCCAGTGGGATTTCAACGTCGGGCGATTTTTCCCCGTCCGGAGAAAACTTGAAGGATTTCAAGTAAGGCTTTTGAACTACATCGTAGCTCAAAGCAAAAAGCTCACCCGAAACTGGATCAATTTTCGGGTGAGCTATCATTGTGCTTTTCAATTGATCATCGAAATTGTACCTACCAACTGTTTGAAGATCGCCAGAAGGCAATACTTGAACATTATAAGGTACATCATCTTCAGACATTGCTAGAAGTCTGTTATTAAAGTAAACCAATCCAGCATTAGCTACTCCAGTCCCATGGCTATGATCCACAAGCCCGAAAACTCCACGGGCATAGAACAACAATAGCCTCGCAATTCCAGAATGACCATGAAGCTCACCAATAGCTTTAGGAAAAACAGGGCGACCCAATTCACGCTCTTGAACTAATCTTTCCGTTTCAGTAAAACGGCAAGAATAGCTCACTGAACCATTTTCGACAGTGACAGCATGAACCATGCCGTCACCGTCAAAAAGATGATGACCGGCAACCGGTTCGAAAAGCGGGTTCGCTCCATTCCGGACATAAACCCCGTTAATGCAATCAGGGATCGTCCCTATAACGGGAAGATTATGCCGGACTGATTGCTCCGGTACCGGAGCAAAGTTACCGGCGATTTGTACACGTGGGTCTGCAGTTTTAGGAAGAGGGTTTTGTAGTTCGCGTGAGACTAACGCGCTTTCTACTATATCTAAAGCTTTTGCTGCTGCCTTTTGGAAAAAATTCCAATCAGGTGTTTGAAATTGTGGTTGTTTTTTGGGGGTATTGTTTTGTTTTGGGAAAGTGAGTAAAGCAGAATGGATTTTAGTTTTTGTTGTGTGATTTTTCATGGAGATTGATTTTGAAGGAAGGGTGAAATCAAGTGAATAGGAAGTAGACGGTGAAAAAGAGTGAGAAACTCCATAATTTGCAATTGTGGAAGTCATTATTTTTTCCTTCTTTGAAGAGAGGAAAAAAGAAAGGGAGAAATGAGAATTGTTGGGGTTGGGTAGAAGAGAGAGGGAAAGAAAAGGGTTTAAATAGAAGAAAATGTTTTGAGGAAAAAAAGGGAGTGTGTAGGGTGAAGAGGGGAACGAAGGTCCACCTTAGACATCTAAGAGAAGAGCACGTGGTGGTATTTGTGAGAAGGTCATTTGGGAGCAACATAAGGGGTAGGGGTATTAATGTCAAACTCATAAATCGAAAATTGAATTAAATAAAAAGAAAAATATTGAAAATAGTTTGAACTTGGAACAATTTATAAGTTTTGTCACCGAACGATTAGTATTTGGCAGCCTTAAAAATATCGATCTATTTTATTAACTAAACTTAGATACACATCCGAGAATTTTTTAATAAAAACGAGAGAAGTGTTGAAAGTACCCCTAAACTTGGCGAGAATTTATGAGGTTAATTTCAATTATATTGAAAAACCAGGGGTGTATTTAAGTCTTGTTAGTCGAGTAAATGAGTGTTTTTAAGGCTATCAATAGTTCGAAGATGAAACTAATAATTTGCGCCGAGTTTAGGAGTGTTCTCAATACTTTTCTTTTAAATAAATAGAAGAAAAAAGTTGATACTCCCTTCATTCCAATTTATATGATGTAGTTTGATATGCCGAGTATATGGTTTCTTGCATATACAGTAAAATCTCTATAAATTAATATAGGTGGGACCATGAAATTTTATTATTTTATAGAGATATTATTTAATCGATAAATTAATATTTATTAATTTAAAGAATGGTTTGAGATTTAATGAAGGTTAATTTTAATTATATCAAAATCATTGTATCTTACTAATTTATGTATCATATTTATTGATTTCACATTAAAAAAATATTATACATAAAGTATTACGAATACATCAAAATCATTGTATCTTAATTACTAATTTCAACCTTGTGATGCTGGGATAATAAGAGCTTTCAAGATGTATTATCGAACAGATTTCATCGTAGGATATTAGAAGGCTATGAAGTGGGACAAATTGATCCAACAAAGATTAATGTTTTGGATGCTATCAATTTTGCAATCCCTGTTTGGACAACAAATGTTCAGCAAGAGACAATAGCAAATTGTTTTCAACACTGTAAAATTCGTTCGGGGGATGCAATATCAGAAAATTTCAATGAACCTACTTGTGAAAACGTCATTCATGAACTTAAGGTCATGATTAATGACCTCGATTACCACAATAAAATGGATGTCAATAACCTGTTGGATTATCCGGGTGAAAGTGATACATGTTCAGAGGTCTAGAGTTTAGAAGAAATTGTGGATATACCATCGGAAAAAACAATGTTGATGATGAAGTTGAAGATGATTACTATACCTTTGGAACAAGTTACACGTAAGGAAACACTTATCACATCTAGAACTCTTCACAATTTTATGGTGCAGTTCGAAAAGACAACACCGGATCTCCTGGATGCAATAAAAAAAGTTAGAGATGAGCTTCAACTAGATTTAAATTTTAAGAAAAAAACAGAACACAATAGAATCATATTTTCACTATTTGTCTTAGATATATTTGTACTTTTAAAGAATTATTAATTTATGATATTAATGAGACCATATATTTATGTAGGGGTCTTCTGAAAATATATTATCTTATTATATTATCGAAATTGATGATATTTTTCATTGGCCCAAGTCGGTACCGGAGTAAAATATTATTTTAGAGAGATTATTAATTTATCGAGTATTAATTTATAGAGGTTTTACTGATGCTACACACTACTTTGCTATTACCTGTCATATTTCTTTTATCACTACTTTGATTTATTTGAGTCGAGGGTATTTTGGAAACAATCTCCCTACTTAGGAGAGATAGTGGTGAAGTCCGTGTACTCTCTATGCTTTCCAAACTTCATTTTGTAAAATTTCATTGAATTTGTTGTTGTTATTGTTGCTTGTATGTCAAATCGAAATCAGACAAACAAAATAAAGTAAATGTCAAATACATAGATAGCCCTGTGAACATGCCCTCATTTTTTATGTTGACACTCTAGCTTAGTCTTGTTCCATTTCAACCCTTCAATTTTATTTTTAAATGGTACATAAAAATTAAGTTTAAGGATTATATGTGTGTAAAGAAAATGCAAAGTTCTTGTGGATGATTCAAATTGAACTGAGAAAATGCATATAAGGACGAATTTAATAAGAAATAAATGATCTGTTTGTCGATTTAAACATTTTAGGTATATATTTTTAAAATTTATCTATTAGCATTTGCTAGCATTTTCATATTAAAAATAAATAATATAATATAATTAATCAAATGTTAAACATATACCTAAAAAGGTAAATTGATTTCCACCCACGATTTTTTTCTGGCAAAGTGATATATCATTATTATAAAAATTCTAAATTCGCCTTTAATTAGCTATGCAACTTATTGGAGGAATGCATGAATTAAGGGGCAATGAGAGAGACATATGACATTTGAACAACTATCAACGTAAGTTGTGGTGTAATAGTGATACTGTTTCACTCTTGATCAAAAATTTCGAGTTTGAGTCCTGAATATGAAAAGAATCATGGATTCGAACCTTAAATATTAAAAAAAGGGGGAAATTGTATGAAATAGCATAATTTAAATTAAATGATATAGTCATAGTTTATTTTATTTGTAATTCATAGCAAACATCTCATTTTTTGTCATATAATTCGGTATACAATTAGTTATTTTCGGTATACAATTACCCATTCAATATACAAATGTATAAAATGTGTTTGTATAAAACAACAGAAAAGTGTATATACAAATATAAATACATATATTTCGTCTTATACACTCATAATTATACAAATACAGATATTATTATACAAATTACAATGTATAAATGAATTTATACAAAACTGAACAATTTGTATAAAATTGGATGTATCTACCGAATTATACAAATCAAAAGTTTCATAGCAAACATAAAATTTGCTATGAATCGTAATTATACAAACTATAGCTATAACATACCAATATAATTTTTATGTTTTCTATTTATAAAAGTTACTCAAAAAAAATCCTTATATCACCCCAAATAAATATTGCGGTACGCAATCCAAATTAAAAAAATATGTTAACAACTCGCCAAAGCAGCAGTCAGCAGTGAGCAGTACTGTACTGCCTACTATTGAGTGCGCACTTTTAGTTGTTTCATAAAATGTGCAGCAACTGTAAAAGGGTTTCTTTGCCTACTTCCTCACGCGCTCATGTGGACGGCGCAAATAATCGTCTCCTCTAATTTCAATTCATGTCATAATATTTACTTATATAGAAAAAAGTTAAATTATAATTTGTACTAAATATAAAAATGTTTTCTTTTTGAAATTTATTTATAAAAAAAATCACATAAATTGAAATAGAAGAAATTATGATATAATAATTTATTTTAAAAAAATTGTAGAATCATTTTATTTTATTTAAATTATAGCTAACCGTGGACGGTTTTTTTTTTTTTTTTTTGAAAATTAAGTATTTAATTTCAAATGAAAGGATAATTTATTAGATATCCGTGCTCAAATACCAAAAAGTTTAATAAATTTGCAGCATTCTGATCAAATAAGGCAAAATATATAACATCCTACATTGTGGCTAGGGATGTCAAAAATGAATCTAAACATAGATAACCCGTTCAACCCGCCTAGAATTTTAAGGGTTGGGCTCAAGATAATTTGAACGGGTTCAATCTCAACTTATTCAAGCCTAACCCATTTTAAGAGAAGGAAAAATTATAGAAATCCCACATTTTAGTTTACTTATTACCATTATCCCCTATAAGTTTTACAAATCTCCAAAATTTCTCATTTTCGTGCATCCGATTATTGTATCTCGCACATCAGATTAATGTATCAGCGCTTATATTATTCTATCTCGCGCATCAGATTATTGTATCATGTAGTGTATCTCGCGCATCAGATTATTGTATCATGTAGTATATCTCGCGCATCAGATTAATGTATAAGCGTTTATATTATTGTATCTCGCGCATCAGATTATTGTATCATGTATAAATGTACATTACATTAGTGTATCATGTATAAAATGTAATGTATCTTACTTAACGATTAATGTATCTCGCGCATCAGATTAATGTATCAACGCTTATATTATTATATCCATTTGAGGGATTTCTGTAATTACAAACTTTTAAGGGATAGATTGTAATTTTGCCTTTAAAGTATGTGATTTCTATAATTTGCCCTTAAGAGAATTCTCAATTGAGCCCAATTCAATCTCCAATTTCAATCCGTTTTAAAACTTTTTACTAAGATATGTTCATATATTAAAGGTATGAATTATTATCTATTTAACATCTTTTAGGATTTATATATCCATTTGTTACTTTTAAATAAAAAATCTTGAGCTGAAATTAGAATTGTGATTATAAAAGTTAAATATCACTATGTTAAAATTATTGAGATTAATCGGGTCAAATTGGGCGGGTCAAGACCCAACCCGTTTTTTAGCCCATTTGAACCCAATCCATTTGACCCAAAGTAAACTTGGGCGGGTCAAGACCCAACTCGATTTCTATTACAACCCATTTTAATATCTCTAATTTCAACCAAACCCGCCCATTTAACATCTCTAATTGTGACTATTGTAAAATAGCTTCTCCCCTTTCTGGGCTTTATATATGTGGTCCACAGTGATCACTGCAAGTGAAATCCTTACAAAGGCCCCTGAGAAAAAGAAGAATGAAAGACTCAAGTGAGTTATTTATGTAAATTTCCATAACTTCTCCAAATAGAAAGAGGACCTCACCAATATTGAGGCTTCGTTTGGCAGCTGGTTAAAGTTATGCGGGTATTAATAATATAGGGATTAGTTTTGTATTAGTTATTTCACTTTCTATCACACATAATATCATGTATAGATTTCATCATAACTTATATATAGGGGTGTGCAAAAATCGAACTGATCGATAAACCGAATCGAAAAAATGTTATTGGGTTATTGGATTTTTAATGGGTTTATAAAAAAAAGATTGGCTTATTGGTTT